GCTGTTTATTCATCCTTATGTTTATTCAGTTACTAGCTGAACTCCTAATCATTTATTTGTTCTACATGCCTCATCCCCACACCACTTTCTGAGCCAGAACACCACACCCCTCCCTCCACATTAGTTATATAAACATCAAACTTGGCAGCAGTACCACTTTAAATAATCAGGGTTGCACTTTTCAGGAGTAGAATCTATGACTCCGAAGGCTCTAAATCTCAAAACAATTCCTTCTATAATTGACATATTGTCACACAAGTGCGATTTCATGGCCATCCCATAAAGCTGTATGATTGCCTTTTATAGTCATATCAAAGTAGCAATGTGTTATACTGTCTCCCGGACAGAAATCTGGTTTATATATTTCTAAGCCTTAACCCATTTTTTAGAAAATCACTGATTGTAATACATCTCCATCTGGACAGACAACCTTCCATTGAAAGAATGTACCACACTCTCTTCACATTACTGTAGCATGGAGTAGCTTCCATTTTAGGGCAATTGTGGATGCCGTTTTCTAGAACACATCACATTTTTTGAGTAGTATGCATTTCTGCTGGGTGAGATGGCTAGATCATAGAACATGTGTGTGATCACCTTTATGGTAATAGACACTGCCAAAATGTTTTCCAAAAGTAATTGTACTGACATGCCCACCAGCATTGCATTGGAGTTATAGTGGCCTTAGATCTCTGCCAATACTAATATTTTCCTTTCCTATTTTTCTTTTCTAATTTAACCCTTTTATTGGGTGTGTAATGGTATTTCTCTGTGGATTTTAATCGATTTTTCTGACTAATAATGTTGAATGTCCTTTCCTATGTTTGTTGGTGTGTAAACGTCCTTCATGATGTATTTATTCAAGTCCCCCATCTGCCTGTTGTTTGTCTTCATGATATATTTTTAAGCTGTTTTAAACACTTAGGATGTGAATGTTTTATCAAATATATAGCAAATAGCTCCTTTCAATTTGTGGGTCACTTTTTTACTCTCTTAGTAGGTATTTTAATAAACACTTATTTCCTTCTTCCTTTTTCACTCCCTGTCCTTCCTTTAATAGGATTTTGTACTGTGGTTCAGACTAGCCTTGAATTCATGATCTTCCTGCCTTAGCACCCCAAATTCTGGGATAAAAAGTATGTACTACCATACCTAGCTAACAGTTCACTCTGTGTGTGTGTGTGTGTGTGTGTGTGTGTGTGTGTGTGTGTGTGTGTGTGTGTGTGTGTGTGTACTGGGGTACCGAACTCAGGGCTTTGCATATGTATACACACTCACACATACACACAGAGCAATTCCCCACTTACTCATACTTTTGCTTTCTGTGGTGTCAGTCAACCATGGTCCAAAAATATTGTCATGACTCTTTCAAGAGAGAGCCATCATTGAGATGGTACATGCCTGTAATCCCAGCTACTCAGGAGGAGGAGGTCAGGAAGATCATAGTTCAAGACCAGCCAGGGTCAAAAGTTAGCAAGACCAAATCTCAATCAACAAATCAGGTGTGGTATGTGTCCATGGTCCCCATCACATGTGTAGATATAGGTAGGAAATTACAGTCTGAGCCAAAAACATGAGACCTATTCAAAACATAACTAAAGCAAAATGAATTGAGGACTTGGCTCAAGTTGTATAACACCTACCTAGGAAGAAGAAATCACTGCAAAAGTCCTGCTGGGATTTTGATTGGGATTATGATTCTTGTCCAGGGGTGATTTTTGGCTTTTGACAATGACTGGCAACATTTTTGAGTTGTCACACCTAGGGGAGTGCTGTGGCCACTAATGGAGAGATGGATGACTAAGATCTAAAGTCCATGTGTGGTAGGACAGCCCTCTATCAGCAGATGATTATCCAGCCCAAGATGTCAGTAGCACTACCATTAAGAAACTAAATACTGGGTGCTGGTGGTTCATGCCTGTAACCTTAGCTACTGAAGAGGCTGAGATCTGAGGATCACGGTTCAAAGCAACCCAGGCAGGAAAGTCTGTGATACTCTTAGCTTCAATTAACCACCTGAAAACCAGAAGTGGTGCCATGGCTCAAAGAGATAGAGCACTTGCCTTGAGTGAAAAAGCTTAGGGATGGTACCTAGGCAACTGAGTTCAAGACCCACAACTGACCAAAAGAAACAAACTCTGGATTAATGCAGTCAGTTTTAGTCAGATTTCTGCCTGCCATCTTCCTATTAGTTTTCTGTTAGGCTCATTCCTTTTGCTTTTTTACTCTCTTTTGGATTAAAATACACCTATCCCTATAAATTTGTTCAGTAGATATTTCTTTATTTAGGATTTATCCTCAGATTTCAACATACATTCAACAATTTTGAAATGTTATGGTCTAATATAAATTATTTTACCACTCCTTGGTAGGATTAGGCACTTAGAACACTTAGCTTCTTCCTCTTCTGCCTTTTTTCCATCCTTACATTCTTGCATTTTAGCTTTCTATGTACTTAAACTCCAAAAAGCTATGTTGCTGTTTTTGTCATAAATTCTGAAGACATAGTTTGGGAACCATCACCCTGGAAGACCCCAGGACAGGTTGTCTTCATGAAACTATTTAGGTAGGAGCTGGGAAGTTGGCTTAGTGGTAGAGTGCTTGCCTCACATGTATGAGGCCCTGGGTTTGATTCCTCAGCACCACATAAGCAGAAGTGGTGCTGTGGCTCAAGGAGGGCACTAGCCTTGAGCTGAAGAGCTGAGGAATAGCACCCAGACCCAGAGTTCAGCACCCACAGCTGACAAAAAGAAAGAAAGAAAGAGAGAGAAACTATTATTTAGGTGAAGAAGAGAGATGTAGAGCCCCAGGCTCTTTCCTCATCCCTTTAGTGAGAGACCTTCTGGTTTTGTGTGTGTGTGTGTGTGTGTGTGTGTGTGTGTGTGTGTGTGTGTGTGTGTGTGTGTATTTTTTTTTTTATTTTTTTGTTTTGGTCCGGTCATGGGGCCTGAACTCTGGGCCTGGGCGCTGTCCCTCAGCTCTTCAGCTCAAGGCTAGCGCTCTACCACTTGAGCCACAGCGCCACTTCCGGCTTCTTTCTTTTTGCTTTTGTGGTGCTGAGGAATCAAACCCAGGGCCTCATGCATGCAAGGCAAGTGCTCTACCACTGAGCCACCTTCCCAGCCCCTGATTTTGTGTATTTTTAATATTGGATTTCCACTTAAACATTTTATTTGAAAACTTTTCCATGCTAAGAGGAAAAAGTATGCCATTATTTCTTTTTTGTTGTTTCATCTATTTGTTTTAGTCCTCTATTTTGTAGTATGAGCAGTCTTTCCCCAAGTATCATGGGTGGTACCTTCTCTAAATCCTACTTAACAGGTGAAGGAAGGTCTTAGTGTATGTATAGGGCTTGGGGGCTACAGTCAGTAGTTGCTAGTCTACTGTCTTCTAGGCTCTACTACTGCAAATGAGGAGTTCAAAGCCTCTCTCTTTTTCTTTTGATAAGTCATTTCTCCCTGAAAGCATGCAAGATTTTCCTCTTTATCTTTATTGTTCAAGAATTTTACCAGAATGTGGCTAGGTCTGAATCCTTTAGGCTCTTCAATATACAGATAAATCTTTTGGCAGCTAATGGAAGTGTTTCAAATATTTGTTTGCTTTATCTCCTCCATCTGTTCCCTTTTCCCTTCCAAATTCCCAGTTATTTACATGTTGTCTCTCCTGGATCTGTCCTCAAGTCTCACAGTTTCAATCTCTTTGTGTTCTCTTTTTTTTTTTTTTTTTTTGAAGAGACTCTGAATGCTATCTTTATTGCTCTATTTTCATTTTTTTAATTGTGAAAATACCGTACAAAGGGGTTATAATTACATGGGTAAGGTAATGAGTACATTTCTGATCAAGCATTGTTGTCTCCTCCTTTGTTTTGTGTTCTTGTTTTAAGAGAATTCTGCGTAATCTTCCAGTTCATTCAGTGGGTTTCAGAATTAGCCATCTCCTATCATTATTATTATTATTATTTCATCAATTTAATTTTTGGTATAGAAAATCGTGTTTGTTTTTCTAAAAAAATCCTTTTTTATTCTGTAGATGACCTCTCCCTTAAGTGGTCTTTTTATTCAAATTCTTACCTGCCTCGTTAAATAGTTCCGTTAATCTGAAATTTATCACCTCAAGGAGTGCTGAAATGCTTTTCTTCCCTCTGACTGCTGGGTCACATTTCCTACTCAATAATTCAATGACCATTTTCAGGCAGAGGAGAGCACAGCAGCCTCTGGATCAGCAGTGTGAACCAGTGCCCATGGGGTATTACTAGTTCTTGACCAAGCTTAGTGGCACCCACATCTGGCATTTTCTTAGTCTGGGAGAAAAAGGATTTAAGCTTCTTCCTTCACTTCTTGGGGCCATAGACACTCAGAGATTCCTTGCCAAGAAGTCTCTCAAAGATCAGCAGTTCCTTCCTGGTAGAGTCTGTGGAGCTCAGTGAGCCAGGCTCTCTCCAGGGTATCAGAGTTCTGATCAGGCCCTGTAGCCATCAATGAACCCAAGGGGACAATCCAGCCCAGTTCTGGAGTGAGAAAGTCTTGGCCCACACCCAACAGGAACTACTTGCCACTAGATCCAGATATGCTCATTGAATTGTGGGTAAAGATGGGAGGCAGAGACTTTTATCATCTTTCCAGAAACCCCTAGCAAGTGGCAGGGGGAGCAGGGGGAGAGAGAGAAAGAGTGAACAAGATGATCCCTAAGCCTCCCTCCAATGGCAGCATTTTACAGTTATATATGTTTATTATCTCCAGCTTCAGCTCATTCCTCAGTACCCTTGGGCCATACTTTTATGTCTTCCCAGTATGCTCTGCTTCCCTGAAGGGAATATTTGAGACTTTTATATCTTTCCTCAAACCCCATGTTTATCCCTCTTCTTGTTCACTGTCAGCCCATGACTTTGAATTTCTCCTCCTAGAGAAAAGAAAGACTCTCAGTATGAAGTTGCTTGGGAAGTTGCTTGGCTTCTTCATTTACCTCTTAACCTGCCTCCTGTGCCTGCCTGCCTGCCTGCCTGCCATCTTTCCATCCTATGGAATCTCTTCGTGTGTGACAGTGTGTGCTCTTAGCTTTCCAGTCTCTCCAGGTACTTCCCTCCCTTTTGTGATGCTTTCAGACTCACATGATTCTTCTTCCACATTACTGGCTGCCAGGGGATCTTTTCAATGCATAAAGTCAGTCATATTGACACCTGCTGCCCACTTAAAGCTCCTCAGTCACAACATCAAGCAAAAGGAATCTAATGATAGAAGTCAGATTTGCAGAGGGAATAAAAATTGATTACACAAGGCATGAGAGCCTTCTTGAGTACTAGAGATAATCTCTGCCTTGTGTTGAGCAGTGCTTACCTGGCCTATCCATACATAAAATGAGCTATACATCAAGAAAGTACATTTTTCTTTATGTATACCTCAACTTTTAAAAGACAGCCTGCAGCAGCTCTCTGTCACTGCTACAAGTTCAACCCCAAACTCCTGAGAATAGCTCACAGATTCCTATTCACCCGCCCCACCCCCAGTCATGGTTCAAGCATCTTCTTGTGAAATCCATCTGACTTTCCCAGGGATGTAACTCTTCCACACTCACTCAGAATCCTAAGCTTTGTCTACCCTACTAGTTAAACAACTGTAGCTCACATGTACACTTAACTGTCCCTCTAGATGGGGGCTCAGAAAACGGCTGACACAGAGGCCCCTTAGACATCTGTTGAATGAAAGCATAAAAGTTAACTTTGTATTTACTTTGAGCTTGACTGTCTTTACTGAAAAACTTTCTTCCTCCAGCCTGCAGGATGTGTCCCCAGTGAGAGGAAGGCTCTTACATAATGGCAGTTTTTGACACTCCTGAGGAGGCCTTTGGCGTCTTACGCCCAGTCTGTGTTCAGCTTACAAAGACCCAGACAGTGGAGAATGTGGAGCACCTGCAGACACAGTTGCAAGCTGTGAGTGACACTGCCCTCCAGGAACTTCAGCAGTACATCCTCTTCCCCTTGCGGTTTACCCTGAAGACCCCAGGCCCCAAAAGAGAGCGCTTGATCCAGAGTGTGGTGGAGTGCCTCACTTTCGTCCTCTCTTCAACATGTGTGAAAGAGCAGGAACTCCTCCTAGAACTCTTCTCAGAACTTTCTACCTGTCTGTATTCGCCCAAGTCCCAAAAACCCGCAGTTGTGTCCGAGGAATTGAAATTGGCTGTGATCCGGAGCCTTAGCACCTTGATGCATTCAGCTTATGGGGACATCATTCTAACTTTCTATGAGCCCGCCATCCTGCCTCGTTTAGGATTCGCTGTATCGTTACTGCTAGGCTTGGCAGAACAGGAGAAGTCAAAACAAATTAAAATGGCTGCCTTACAGTGTTTACAGGTTCTACTCCTTCAGTGTGAGTGTCAGGACCATCCGAGGTCCTTGGATGAGCTTGAGCAACAAGAGCTGGGGGATTTGTTTGCTTCTTTCTTACCAGGAATCTCAACTGCCCTGTCAAGGGTGATCACAGGAGACTTTAAACAAGGTCACAGCATTGTTGTCTCTTCTCTGAAAATCTTTTCCAAGACTGTGGGCTTGGTCATGGCTGACGAACAGCTCAGAAGAATCTCAAAGGTCCAAGCAAAGCCTGCAGTTGAGCACAGAGTTGCAGAACTGATGGTTCACAGGGAAGAAGTTTGGGTAAAAAATACCAGCGATAAGTTGGGAATCCTTATTAAGAAGATAATTGAGAGTGTGTCAGTTCACCCACATTGGAAAGTGAGGCTGGAACTGGTAGACCTCGTGGAGAACCTTCTTTTGAAGTGCAGTCAGTCCCTGGTTGAATCTGCTGGTCCCCTCCTGAAGGCTTTAGTGGGCCTAGTAAATGATGAGAGTCCTGAAGTCCAGGCCCAGTGCAGTAAAGTCCTGAGACATTTTGCAGATCAGAAAGTTGTGGTGGGCAACAGAGCCTTTGCTGACATCTTGTCGGAGAGCCTGCACTCCCTGGCCACGTCTCTTCCCCGCTTAATGAACTCCCAAGATGATCAGGGCACATTTTCTACTCTCTCCTTATTACTCGGGTATCTGAAACTCTTGGGCCCCAAAATAAACTTTGTTCTCAACTCTGCAGCCCATCTCCAGCGCTTTTCCAGAGCACTCATCCAAGTTCTAGAACTAGATGTGGCTGATGTCAAAATCGTGGAAGAGCGGTGCTGGAACTCCAGTGAGCTAAGTGCTACTCCGGAGGCCCCTGCTGCACGACCATGGAACCAGGTCCAGAGAAGATATTTCCGCTTCTTCACTGATGAAAGAGTTTTCCTGCTCCTGCGACAGGTTTGTCAGCTCCTTGGCTATTATGGGAATCTCTATTTGCTCGTGGATCACTTTATGGAACTATATCATGAATCGATGGTTTACCGGAAGCAAGCTGCCATGATTCTTAATGAGCTGGTTATAGGTGCTGCTGGGTTGCAGATGGAAGATCTTCATGAAAAACATACTGGAACAAACCTAGAGGAACTGCGAGAGATTGTGACATCTATACTTGAAGAATACACAAGCCAAGAAAACTGGTATTTGGTTACCTGTATTGAAGCTGAGGAGGAAGAAGAGCTGACAATGAGGCAGTCAGGCCTGCAGGCCGTCGCATCTGCTGCCCACACCTGCCAAGTTACTTCTTTTCCAGCCTTCTCAAAGCCAAGTCCCACTATTTGTTCAATGAACAGCAACATCTGGCAAATATGCATCCAGTTAGAAGGGATTGGCCAGTTTGCTTACGCACTAGGAAAAGACTTCAATTTACTCTTGATGTCAGCCCTCTATCCAGTACTGGAAAAGGCTGGAGACCAAACCCTGCTCATTAGTCAGGTGGCCACCAGCACCATGGTGAACATTTGCCATGCCTGTGGTTACAACTCCCTGCAGCAGCTCATCAACCAAAATTCCGACTATCTCGTGAATGGCATCTCTTTAAATCTGCGTCATTTGGCACTACATCCTCATACCCCAAAGGTCTTAGAAGTTATGCTGCGGAACTCAGATGCTAGCCTACTTCCTTTGGTAGCAGATGTAGTTCAAGATGTCTTGGCCAGCCTGGACCAATTTTATGATAAGAGATCTGCTTCCTTTGTCAGCGTTCTGCATGCCCTGTTGGCAGCATTAGGTACATTGAAAGTCCTTTTTAATGCTGATTTGGGGACAGGACTCAGTATCCTAGTTTACCTTGTCTTGTTTTTTTCAGTGTTTTGGAAGACATTTGAAGGGTTGCCCCTCTAGTCCACGGGGTCTAGACAAGTTCCATTGTTTTATTTGTATTTCATTGATTATTTTTCATGGAATCTTAGTCATTTATTGAGCTCCTGCTTTATGCCAAGAATAAAAACCCTGTAGACTAAAGCATTTTATTTTACAAATAAGTAAAATTAAGGCTTAGTGAGATCCTGCTTAGCTAGAGGTACATAATAAGTGTAAAGTCAGGCTTTATGACAATTTTGTTCTTCCAGTGTACTGAGTAGCTTCTGAAGGTACTTAGAGTTAGCAGTGTCTATGCTAATGGAGGACAGGAAGAACATGAATTATTAAGCCCATAGATGACTAGAACATTACTAGGAAAAGAAAATCCAATCAAGCTTCCTTCTTTTTGTGATGGTGGGGCTAATGTTGGAGATTGAAGTCAGGGCCCTCACATGCTGAACAGACAGACATTCTGAGCTACACTCCAGAACTATGTCTGCTCTGTCCAAAAAAATGGTCTTTAGCCAGGTACATGTGGCTAGCACTCCTGGAGAACTGAAGTTTTAATTCTATTTAATTTTGCTAAGGTAAAGGCTTTTTTTTTTTTGTCGGTTGTGGGGCTTGACCTCTAGGCCTGGGCGCTGTCCCTCAGCTCTTCAGGTCAAGGCGAGTGCTCTACCACTTGAGCCACAGTGCCACTTCCTTAATTTTGATAATCACATGAAAAACACAACCCCATATGCCATACTGGACAGGACAGATCTGACTTCTAGTTGTACAAGTTGGTGTGAGTACATGTATGTACATATGTGTCCTGGGACTTGAACTCCCTTGAGCTCAAGCTTGGCTTTTTCACTCACAGTTGGTAGAAATATTACCACTTGAGCCATGCGTCTAATTCCAGCTATTTGATGGTTTGAAGATAAGACTCTTCAGAGACATTCCTGCCAGGGCTAGCTCTGAACCTTGATCCTCAGATCTCAGTTTCCTGAGGCATGTGCCACTGGCACCTTACTTTTCTTCTTCCTTTTGACCCTTTTTGATGCCTACAGGAGATGCTAGGCACCATAAGAATGGCAACGTTTTTGGAGTATAAGAAAAAGTGACAGATGAAAAGGTCATTGACCTCATTTTGTCAGGTTAAAAACCTAAGACCAGATAACAAGCTTTGTCTGGAAAGGTATCTGGGGTAGAGGCTGTGTTCTGCCTTGTAGCGGATGCATTTCCAATGGTTATTCATTAACATTCACATTCAGCACGAATGTTCTTGTATTCATTCAGTAAAGAATGCCTTCCATATGTCAGGCACTGTGCTAAGTAATGAGGATGCAACAGTGAACAAGATAAATAAACTCACAGAGCTTTCCAGTTACTGTGAAAGAGATGATAAACAAGTAAACAAATCATTAAACACGCTTACTGCAGATTCTGATAAGTGCCTTGAAGAAAATTAACACCCTGATGCAAGAGAATAATAGGGACAAGCTACTTTTAAGTTGAGTGGTCAGGTTAGACCTTTCTGAAGAAGCAGCCTGAAAGCTGAGACCTAAAAGAGGAAAAGGGCCCATCATTACAATTGACACATTGTTTTATGATTTGTAAGTACATTTAGGCAGAGGAAATGGCAGATGCATAGGCTCGGAGGAAAGGGCTTGAAATGTTTGGAGAATGGAAGCAAGGTCTTTGTGGACAGAGTAGTGAAGGATGAAATTGGAAAATAGGACCTTATAGGCCAAAGGAAGGAGGTTGGTCTTCACTTTGCAATCATTCACAAGCCTGTTGTGAGCTAGCTGTGTATTGCTGTGACAAAAATCACTCAAAAACGAAACAAAATCCTGCTGGGTACTGATGGCTCACACCTTGTGATCCTGGCTACTTAGGAGACTGAGATCTAGGATCGTGGTTCAAAACTAGCCTAGGCAGGAAACTCCATGAGACTCTTATTTCCAATTAACTACCAGAAAACTGGAAGTGGGGCTGTGGCTCAAAGTGGTAGAGTGCTAGCCTTGAGTGAAAGAGCTCAGGGACAGTGCCCAGGCCCTGAGTTCAAGCCTCATGCCTGGCCAAAAAAAAAAAAAAAGCTAAATGAGGAAAGGTTTATTTTGGCTCACATTTCAAAGGTTTCCAGTCCTTGGCCAGCTGGCTCTGTTGCTGTTAGGCCTGTGGCAAAGTAGAAACATGATCGAAGAGCGTAGTAGAGGAAGGCTACTCAGGAAACAAGGAGAAAGAGGTCCCAATAGGATCACCAGCTTTGGTCTAAGCTTTTCGCATATGGTCTTTGGAAGCCATTTCAGCTCCAAACCATAATCCATGTATAGTAACTGGGGATAATACCCACCTGGGCCTGCCTTTGTGAAACACTCTGTAAGCCTGACTTCTTAGACACTTAACTTGGCCTCACCTCCAACCTTTCTTTACTGTTCTGAGGAAGTATGCTATATTTCAGTTTGAGCTTTACACAAATACGTTACCAAAAGCCTAGGAAATGTATCCTCTGGGAAGATATCTTAATTTGAGATGAAAATTGAATGGCCCTTAGATTGCTGATGACTTTGATCATCCCCGAAGGAAGAAAGTCAGGAAATCCTGTTGAGTCCCTTTTGTCAGTTTAATTGAGCTGATAGAGGAAGGTCACCATTGCAGAAAGGAAGATGAGAAAGATTAAGATTGACTGTGGAGCATCCTAGGAAGGAAAGCCACATGGGAGATAACTTTTTTCCTAGATTTAAGATAGCCCCAAATACCCGTGCATTTTGAATAGCAAATAGTGGGAGTTGGAGCAGTCACTCACCGATCAAAGCTGCACTTTATGTTAGCATTCTGTTTGTCATCAAATTGTCTAGCTGATAGTCTCTTTCAAGATAAGTGTAAGTCTGCTGTCAGAACTTCTGAAAGGTCTTTCAAGAGCCCAGTACATGGTTGAGAAAATTGGGCTATCATACATGGTCACACATGCATCAACTGAAAAGCAATCAGTGCCTCTGTGAGGACAAAACCATTCAGGTAAATCACTGCTCAGCACCAGCTGCTGCTGATTAGCTGATTATCCACAACAAGGAAAAATAGGATAGCTCAGAAAATAAAGTATCCATGTCACATTTTCCAGAGCCTATAGATTGTACCCTGCCTCTATTTCATAGAGGACTGCTGTGTTCTTATGGCAGCATCATCCCATTGTCAGGCTAGTTTATTTAACCAGCCCTTTCTTGGTAGAGGTTTTTGGTTGTTTTTTTATTTTCTGCCATCACAGAAAAAATGCTGTACTGAATCTTTAGAGATCATTTTGAACATGCCTCAATATATCAGTAGGATAAATTCCTGAAAGAAATGCTGATTTAAAGGATATTACATTTAAACTTTTGATTGAGAGTATCAAATTGCTTTCCTAAGAAGCTGTACCAATTTAAACTCCATCACCAATATAAAAGAGTGCCAGTTTGCCACGCCCTCACCCACACTGTATATTACCAAGCTTTTGATCTTTACTAACCCAATAGGAGAAAAAGAACCCCTTATTATTTCATTTTAATTTGCATGGAGAGTGAGGTTGAACTTCTTTTCATATGTTTAAAAGCCACTTGTGAGCAAAGACATTTTAATATCTGGCAGTAGCCTTGAATCTAGAAATAATCTTTGCAGTGTGTCAAGTCCTCAAAATGTAAATACTGGATCTGGGCTTTAACCAGTCCCTTAAAGTGCACGAAGGATATGACTTACACCTGGGAAAATGGCCTGCCTGATTCCAGCATATGGGAATCTCTAGGTACTGGGTGGAAGGCTGCCTTCTTAAGTACTTGCTCCCTGCTCCTCCCAGGAGGAAGTCTACCATCTCCCATTTGCTGTTACTCTGGCTTTGTGCAGATTCTCCTTGATGAAAGATTAGCAGGTAGGAAGAGTGATCAGTCTTGTTCCTTGATATCTGCAAAAGGCAGGCACTAGGTCAAAGCCACAATATTTAGGCTGTAGGATTTGGTAGTGTTGGTCTTTTGTTCTTTGCATGTTAAGACCTTCTTTTGAACTGAAGCCTTTAAGGAGGCTCCAACACACAGAAACAGTTCTCAGAGCTTTCCTAGTTGAAGAAGGAAGAGATCCTGGAGTCTACCCCACCCCATCTTCCATCCCAAGCCCGGTGCTGCTTAGTGCCCTCCTTGTTGATGATCTCTGGGACATCTCTGCAGAGTCCTAAAGCCCCACAAGGCACAGTTGAAAAACCACTGGAGTGGATTAAGTTTTATTCTGGCAACACATCAGAGGTATTGGAGCATCACCAATGGAAAGCTTTAGAGAGAAAAATAGCCAGCCTTCTGAAGCATTTTGTGTCAGTAGACAGCACAACTGTTCATTCTCAAGGTTCTACAGAGCCTGTCTTCTAGTAAGAAGCATATCCTTTACTCAGAATTTTGTACATGTTCTCCAACTTCATTGTTTTTGTTATTGTTTTTGTTTTGTGCCAGTTCTGGGGCCTGAACTCGTGGCCTGCACACTGTCTCTTAGCTTTTTCACTCAAGGCTAGTGCTCTACCCCTGGAGCCACAGCTCCACCCCCAGCTTTTTGGTAGTTAATTGGAGAAGAGTCTCATAGACTGTCTTAACCAGGCTGGCTGGCTTTGAATCTCCATCCTCAGATCTCAACCTTCTGAGTTGTTAGGATTACAGGCATGAGCTACTGGCACCCAGGTCTCATTGTTTATTAATTCAGCATACATTTTGAGCACCCACCCTATGCTGGACATATTGGGGAGTCTTATAGGAGAGAGTCAAATAGTAAGCAAAATAAATTTACAGTTATAAAATATAGTTACAAACTGATGATATGGAGGGAAAGAACATCATGTATGTAAGACGTAAGAGGAATGATCTGAGTTAGACCCAGGACTTAAAGGAAGGTATACTGAGCAAGTTCTATTTGTACTGAGACAAGAAAAGTGGTTTGGAATTAGCCACATGTAAAGCAGAGGGACAGTTCTAGACAGGCAAAACAGTATGTTAGGCCAGGAACTGGTAGTTCACACCTGTAATCCTAGCTTCTCAGGAGGTTGAGATCTGAGGGTCATTGTTCAAAGCCAACCCAGGCAGGGAAGTCTGTGAGATTCTTATCTCAAGTTAACCACCAAAAAGCCAGAAGTGGAGCTGTGGCAGAAGTGTAGAATGTCAGCCTTGAGCAGGAAACCTGACCCTGACCCTGACCCTGAGTTCATCCCCTAGCACCAGCACAAAAACAAAAAACAACACCAAACAACATGCTAGAAACTCTAAGTAAGGAAAACACAGCACACTGGAGGAATAGGAAGATGGTAAGGTATCAAGAGATTGGAGCTGTAGAAGATAAGATGAAAAGGCAAGCTGGGTCTAGATGGTACAGAGTGGGTCATATAGGCCATGGCAAAGAGCTCTATTCCATGTACAGGGTAATAATACCCTTCACAATGACCAGCATGATCAATGTAACCCTTTATCTACAGCCCAGTGGTTCCCAGACACAAGTTGTATCGGGCAACTCCAAGAACAAAGGTTAAAGGAGGGAAATCATATGCACCAAATACCAGCAACTCTTGAGGCAAGCACTACAGCCGAAGACATTGAACAGTTTGTACTGAAATACCTCAAAGAAAAGGACGTGGCTGAGGGAAACATCTCAGATTTTGACAGTGAAGAAGGTACCTATTATTTCTTTTGGCTAGCTGGTTTTTCCTTTTTCTTTCTTTTTTTAATCAGAGATGGAGACTCAAACTTGGTACCTGCTGCTCTAGCAGGTACCTTTTTGAAACACACACACACACACACACACACACACATACCCCACACCATATCATATTCCAGAAAGTTTGGGATTAAGAAAAGTTGCTCAAGCTCACATAGCCATTTTCATTTTGGGTGTAATTTTTCTCCCATTACTTTTTGTTACAGTTTATTTTTCCATGGTTGCAAGCATAGTTTGGTTTTTGTGCTGATAGAATAGAACCCAGGACTTAGAATCTGCCGAGCTGTACTCTGAACACCCTGCATCATACCCTTTTTGTGTTTAGTTATAAGCAGTCTTCCATATTGCTGTATAGTTTTCATAACTAATGTCACAATAAGCTGCTAGTAAATATCCATTCCCCTGTGGGAAGTTGCAGTTGCTTCTGGCTTTGCCATAATGAACAGTGTGCTACATTGGATAATGCCTACATCTTTTCCTCCTTGCTTCTGGGTCAAGGATATGCCCATTATTTAATGCTTGCCAAAACTGCCTTCCAAAAATGGTTCTTTCCATTTATTGGCCAGTGCAAGATTAACACTGGCTTCACCACAGCCTTGCCAATATTGCCAATACCAATTCTACTTTTCCCTAAGTTAACAGGTTAAAAAATAGTTCTTATTCTTTTACTTTGTATTTCTTTCATTACTGGTGAAATTGAACATATTACTAATCCTTCTTTCCTCCTAACCTTTTCTTCTTGTACTCATTGCCTATTCATGTGCCTTGTCTATTGGTTTACTGGAGGGAGGAGATCCCAGCATTTTTCTGGCCTATTTGTATGATAAAAGCATAAGAGAGTTCAGGCTAGTAGCAGCACTGGCCTCTTGTTTTATTCACAAATTCAATCTGGAGCTTCAGGTCATGGAAGGATTAATAAATTATTAGAATCTCCTCTGCAAATATAAAATGCCAAGTCATAATGAGCTTGGTGGTCTCAGAACTATCCTAAATCGAACTGAGTCCCAAATTAGTTTGTTAGCTTGGAACTGAGCAGATTTTTTTTTTCTTTTTTTCCATTCTGGTGAACTGAAGCCAGTACTTCTAAGGTAACAGGACAGAGCAGCTGTATGCACCTAATGCACTACCAGGGAAGCATTGTGGGGCCCAAATAACAATTTGATGCTTTTTCTTCTCAGATTTGTATCCTAAGTCAACACAACCAAAACCTGGCAGCCCTGGAGAAAGGAAAGAATCTTATTCATTCATAATCAAGCTTGCCATTCTGGTTTAAAATTGAAGCACTGTCAGTGAATCTGTTCTTCCCTGACTAGAATCTTTTGGTTCTAGTGGATGTTTGCTGGGAGCAGACTGAATGCATCAAGCCTTATTCTAAAACCTGAAAATCCACATATCTCAAATTACATTCTGCAGTAGGTGAATTTCCAAAGTCCTCATCATCCTATCATTCATCATTCATAGAATGCATACCATGTTTTTGGCTTTACAAAGAATGTTTGGAGACTAGAATTATAGCTCTGTGATGGAACGTTTGCCTAACATATACAAGGCTGGGAGTTCAATCCCCAGCATCACCAAAAAAATAAAAAATAAAAAGTTTGACTTATTATGGGTTTGACATGTATTTTAAACACCATTCTCGAATGCATTTTCACGTAGCTTTTTATCATGTTAAAGAGACAAGTGCAGCCTCTTTTGTAAGATTCTGTTTTTCTAGCAGAGGAAACTGAAATGGGAAAGAGTTAGGGAAACAGTAGAAATGAGCACAACTTGTAATGGGGATATAGGGACAGAGGGGAGGCCTGTGAGCAGACAGGAAATTTTTTTTAAAGATAGGGATTTGGGCCTGGCTTTCAGACAATTCTCAAGTCTTACAGGTGGTGTTTTACATTGTGATCTTCTGCCTTTATAGCCCTGTCTCCACAGTTCCTCCTTCAGGGTAACAGGGGGCACCATCTCTGAATCCCATCACATTGACTATTGGCTACCTTTTGGAGGGGACACATTTAAACCATAGAAGGGGCTTTTTCCAGCTTTGAGTTGGTACAGTTCATGTTATTTTGAACATCTTGATCTGTTCGGCTTGACTGACTTTTCTGATGGTTTCCTTAAGATGGGTCCCTGGGCATTTTCCTGTAAGTCCTGTGCCTGAATCTGAAGACAGGGATCAAGCTGGACTGGACCACCTCTCATAAAACCCTGACACTAATTACACTCTTCTTCCAGAGGCGCCATCAGTCCCTCCCGAAGCAGACAAGAATGATACCCGTCCTGATGTGGAAGAACCACTGCCTGTACAGATCCAAATAGCCAAGGACGTGATGGAGCGTTGTGTCCACTTGCTCTCAGATAAAAACCTGAAAATCCGCTTGAAGGTCAGTGTAGGGCCTCTTCTCCATACTCACAGGGCTATAGGACCAAGTTGTGCTCTGGTAGGCAGTGGATGGATGCTGTCTGAATAAGCCAGAGGTTTCCTTATCTCTTGGATCCTGTGTGGTAGTCAAGAGGCAGCATCAAGAAATTTATCTGGTGCTGGGAAGTTGGCTCAGTGGTAGAGCGCTTGCCTTGCATGCCTGAGGCCTTGGGTTTGATTCCTCAGCACCACATAAGCAAAAAGAAAAAAGCCGGAAGTGGCGCTGTGGCTCAAGTGGTAGAGCGCTAGCCTTGAGCTGAAGAGCTGAGGGACAGCGCCCAGGCCCAGAGTTCAGGCCCCGCAACCGGACCCCCCCCCCCCAAAAAAAAAGAAATTTATCTGTAGGATGACAGTTTTGCATCTTCCAGCATTGGTTGAGATGACAAAAGGGAACTGAGTCCCTTCCATTAAAAGCCAGAGTTGTGGGGATTCCCCGACTCTCCAGAGAAAAGAAAACCATGTGCTTTGAAGGGATATCATTTTCTGAGCTGACTTAATTTCAAAATTTTAAAGTGGTCATTCTTCCATGCCTGACCTTTAATCTCTGTTTCTGTTTCTATTTCCATCCAAGGAAAAACCCCAATGCTTTCCATATCACATCCTTGTTTTCTGGCAGCTTCCCATCTGCTAGGACTTACATACACAGTAGTGACTCAGTAAGATGACAGTGGGTGAGGTGGTGGTGGGGCCAGGGCTCTTAGAATCAACTCCACAGAAGATCTTATGCCTGTTCCATCCCCTATCAAGAGGGAGAGGACTGCCTTAATGACTCACAACTAATGATGGAACTCTGCCTTATTCAGGACATGGGGCAAAAGCAGGTTTTCAGATTATCTCAGATCTCAAAATCTGTGTCTTATGTAATTTTTTGTGTTTGATCTTCCTGAGATATCTGCTCCATTCAGCAGGTACTTTGTGAATTTGTATTCCATGCCAGGCTTCTTTGTAGGTGCCTGGTTGGTATATTTGGCAAATTCCTGAATATCCTTCAAGGCCTTTCCTTTTATGGAGTCTGTGTCGCAGCTGTAACACACACCAGAGTTGTTACAAGCATTGAGATCAGACCTACATACCTGAGTTGAGATCTTGACTCTTCCCTTTATGAGCCATGTGACTTGAAGTAAGTTAATTCACAGTTTCAATCCTTTGTACCTTTGTGTGTACTATAGAGATAGGATGCCCTCCTCAGAACATTGTTGGTTACAAAGTCAGAACAGCTTGCCTGGGGTATGCAATGCACACAGTGCTCATGAAGCACTTGAGAAGGTACTTCGGGGATTTGTTTTTGTTTTTGTTTGTTGGTTGTAGGGCATGAACTCTGGGCCTGGGTGCTGTCCCTCAGCTCTTCAACTCAAGGCGAGCACTCTACCACTTGAGCCACAGCACCTCTTCTGGTTTTCTGAGTGGTTTATTGGAAATAAGAATCTCATGGACTTTTGTGCCTGGGCTGGCTTTGAACTGTGATCCTCAGATCTCAGCTTCCTGAGTAGCTAGGATTACAGGCATGAGCCACTGGCACCCAGCTTGCTTCAGGGATTTGTAGGTCATGACACAAGTACGATCCCTGCTTTTAGGAGACTTCCTGTCTGTTGTAGGGAAAGCACCAAGATACAAGCACACATCAAGTTGTAAAAATGTCAAGACAACAAGCAGCTTCTCCCCTAGAGAACTGTAACCCACCCATGAAACAAACATCTCTATATCGAGCAAGCACTGTGAGTGAGACCTCCAGGCGCTCACATTCCGGTTCAGACCAGGGAAGCCAGTAGGCACTCTCTGAGGCAGCAGTATTTCTTTTTTTCTTTTTTGTTTTTGTAGTACTGGGGATTGAACCCATGGCCTCAAAGTGGTAGACAAGCATCCTGCCACTTGAGCTTTGCCACAGACTTTTTGTCTTCATATTTTGTTTTTGAGATAGAGTCTGGATGTCATTTGCTTGGGCTGACCTTAAACTTACAATCTTTCTGCCTCCGAGTAGCTGAGATTACACCTGGCTTTTGCTTGGGTTTTTTTTTTTTTTCATTCTGGGAGTGGCGTTATATGGATGGAGTTTAAACTTAGGACTTGGTACTTGCTAGGTACATGCTCTTCCCCTTCTACCATACCCCAGCCCTTTTTTGCTTTTAGTTTTTCTTTTCTTGTTTTTTTTTTTTTTTTAGCTAGGGTCTCTGTTTTTGCACAGGACAAGCCTTAGAGCACAATTCTTCTACCTCAATTGCTGGCATTGCAGGTGCGAGTCACTACACCCAACCTACTGATTGAGATAGGGGGTCTTACTGTCTTTGCCCAGGCTAGCCTTGAATTGTGGTCCTCTCTAGCCAGTAGTTTTTCTCAAGGTTGAAGCCAGGAGAACATTCCAAGCAAAGGAATGTGTGTGTTTGAATCAGTGAAATATAACATACTTTGTCCAGTTACTGATAGAACTCCAATCAAAGCCACTACCACGGTACCCCTTTGCTCTCTGCTGCACTGCTGAGCTTTCTCTCACACGTCTGCCTACCCAGTCCCCACCAGGGGCAGGGCCTCTTCTGTTTTGCATTTCTGTCAGTCTCCTTGTGGACCTGCGTGAAGGAGGCTCCCAGTAAGGCTTCATGATAGTAGACTTTAATCTGCCTTTCTGGCTCGAAGATCTACCTCACCTGCACTATGAAGGCTGGCCCATTTGTGCGAAGATCATGGTCCAGCTCCTCTGCCATGCTCCATACATTTTCCAAGCAAGACAAGCTCCAGGTCTTCCTTGTTGGTTTGGTTTGGCTTTTTTTGTTGGTTGATTGGTTTGGTTTTTTGTTTTGGTGCTGGGAGTAGACCCCAGGGTCTTGTGCATATGAGCCAAGTGCTATACCATTGAGCCACACTCCAGTTGCAGGAATGGTCACCCTGCATAGAATATCTGCTTATTATTTATGCCTTGGTTTATTTGTTTGTTTGTTGTCAGTTGTGGGACCTGAACTCTGGGCCTGGGCGCTGTCCCTCAGCTCTTCAGTTCAAGGCTAGTGCTTTACCACTTGAGCCATTGTACCACTTCTGACTTTTTCTGCTTATGTGGTGCTGAGGAATTGAACCCAGGGCCTCATGTATGCAAGGCAAGCACTGTACCACTGAGACACCTTCCTAGCCACTATGCTTTGTTTTAGAATCTGTTCCTCAGAAACAATTTCCCGGCAATCTGTAGGCTTTAGATGTTTCCCTTAACTCTTTGCATTTTACCCTTTTCTCAACACAGTTGATAGTCTCTTTATTAGATGTTAAGTAATTCAGTTCTTCCATGTATTTTGTCATTAAATGTCCCCTCTAGTTTCTGGCCTGGCCTGCCTTAGTCAACATTCACTAAATAGTCATTCAACTAATGGTGTTTCTCAGTCTTATTGCTCTAAAATGGTAACTTGATCATAGGTATCTCTTTTCCAACTTTTACCATCTTCTGAAATTGTCTTTCTTCTTTTAGGTCCTGGATGTGCTGGGTTTGTGTGTGGTAGTTCTGCAATCCCACAAGAACCAGCTCCTGCCCTTGGCTCATCGGGCCTGGCCCTCGCTTGTGCAGCGACTCACAAATGATGACCCACTGGCAGTGCTCAGAGCCTTCAAGGTACAGCTGGCACTTCAATTCTCCGTCACGAGCACAGAACTAACCAAGGTCTTTTGTATTTCTTCTATCTGATTGCAACGTCACAGACCTTCAAGAAAGAGTAGGAAAATGAGACAAGCACAAAGAACCAAATAAGTCACTTTCCTGTTGAATGTGAAGCAGAGAAAAGTAGTAAAGCAAAGGGCTACCAGTATTGATTGAGCATTTCCAATGTGCCAGACAGCGAGTGTGGCTCTTCCCTGCATGGAGCCCATCTCATACAACCATGCCAAGTAGCTATAGTCTTTCCATTTCTTTTTTTTTTTTTTTGGCAAAAGACAAGGCAAGCTCAAAGAAGTGAAGGAAGTGTTCCAAGATCATACAACCATAGAACCCAGAGTCCATGTTCATATTTAGTTCAGTGCTCAAGAGTCATGGTGAAGGAATTTGGGTCCTAGCAATCAGCACCCTCTGCCCAGCCAAACAACTTTGGGCAAAGCCCATGGCCACCCATTTTGAGGAACGCCACCATCCTACCTTCCTCATAATGTTGTCAAGGATGAAATTGGAATGGTGAGATGCTCTGAGAAGGTAAAAGCCCCATGTAGATGCAAGGGATTATTTTCTCTGATTTTGTTTGGCTTAGATTAGCACATGTATTTTCACTTATTTATTTATACCCTTCCTTGTTCTAAAAAGCACTTAACAGCATTCTGCAGAGATACATTTACCATGGCAAGCCAACATAAATTAGAAGTAGACGAGCAAGATGAGGCAAAAAAAAGATGTATAGGGACATAAAATGCAGCTGAAGATGCAATTCATATATTTGGCAAAAGGAAGTTAGGATCTCTCTAAGACTCTGCCATATATACTGAACCCAAAGACTTGTATGCACAAATTGCTACTGGTTTTTTTTTCAAAGGAAAATGCATAAAATACCTTGGTGTGTGTGTGTGTGTGTGTGTGTGTGTGTGTGTGTGTGTGTGTGTGTGTGTGTGTGTGTGTGTGTGTGTGTGTGTGTGTGTGTGTGTGTGTGTGTGTGTGCGCGCGCGCGCGCGCGCATGCGTGTGTACGTATAGAACAGGGAAGGAGGTAGGCTGGAGGGAGGTGGGGAGAAAAGGAGGTCTTGCTAAATTGCATTCAGATGTGCTGTTTTCTGCATTAAAATTAATAGGTTATCTGAAATGACAGCAAGTATAGAGAAATAAGAAAATATAAAGACGCATGTGGTGTAACCCAGGCTGCTTTTCCCACATGCAGACACATCAGTGATGCCCGAGGTCTGCAGAGCCTCACGCAGCCCAGCAGAGGGACATGAAGTGGCTGCAAAGTGCACATTCACTCTCCGAGCCATCTCTGCCTTGCTTGCCGATTTTTAAAGAAATTCGACTGCTGCTGTATACTCAGTCTTGTGCAGCAGGGCAAAACGTTTCAATATGTTCTGCTAGAGAAAGTTTAAAACGAGACATGCAAGGAGAACGGCCTGTTGTGGGAGATAGAACGAGGGTGATGTACATAGGAGATTGGGCCGTGGAACAGAAGAACATGGAGTTAGCTCCAGCCTCAGGGACCGCAGTCCAGTCACTGCCCTGATGCCCACACGGGCAGCCATTGAGCCTTAGTCTGTGCTTGCTTAGTTAGCGACAGTAAAAAGCCCAAGTCTTTTCTCAAGGGATCTTAGGAAGATTCTAGAGATGATCTATGTGAACTGCTTTTTGTTCTTTTTTTTTTTCCTTTTAACCAAAAAGAGGAAAATCAAGATATTAATCATATTATTCATTTAACCCATGCTTTCTCTGAATTACTCTCCATGTAATCTGTATTTATGGATAGAAGCAGCCATGCCTGGGGAGCAGCGTCCGCCAGATTCATAACTGTCAGAATCACAAACTGTGGGCAAGGAATTAACAGCTGTAATTCTATTATTTTTTTTTTTTTCCGAGTAGAGACCTAGATAGAATTGAATTGCCAAGCCTCCTTCCGTCTTCTTGCTGCCTTGGCAGCGTGCAGTCACTGGGTTGGGGTCTGTTTCTGCAGGTTTTGCAGACGCTGGGAGGCACGTGTGGTGATTTCCTACGCAGCCGGTTCTGCAAAGATGTCCTACCAAAGCTGGCTGGCTCCTTAGCCACCCAGGCGCCTATCAGTGCCAGGGCTGGACCAGTTTACTCACACACGCTGGCCTTCAAGCTGCAACTGGCCGTTTTGTGGGGCTTGGGACCCCTCTGTGAGAGCCTGGATCTAGGTAGGTACCTAGCTTAGCTCACCTCACCTGGACACACTTCCATTGCACTCTGCCTAGTTTAGTTTGTGTCCCTTACCTCCCTTCACATACACCTCCTTCAGTTTGCCCTGGCCCCTTTCATCCATTTACCCTGTGCCCTGCCTCACAGAATGGAGGAAAGAGCTCAGAGAACATTCAAGAAACAGCTCACTCGGCTGTTCCTGTTCTCCCAGACAGTGATTGGTTATTCCTTGTCCCAAATGCGTTCTGAGGGCCGTTGCTTATTTTGTTTTTCCTCTCTGTAGGTGAGGGTGACCTGAATAAAGTGGCTGATGCCTGCTTGATTTACCTCAGCACCAAACAGCCCGTGAAATTACAAGAGGCTGCCAGGAGGTACGTCTGCTTGATCACCCACATCTCTTTACGTTTGTTCTAAATTATAGATGATTTGCTAATGGCGAGCAGAGTTGAGGCAATCTCTGCTCTCTTTCCCCTCTCCTTGCCAGGTTAAGATGATTTCTTCAGCTGTGCCAGCCCAAAGATGGTCTTTTTTACTAGATGTGTGTCTTTTTGCAAGTAACCTTTTCTTCTGCTGCAGTGTCAGCAACAATTCCAAAGGGGCACAAAGCAGAAAGACCATGTGCTAGAGGGGACTCGGCCCCCTCCTGTCTGCAGTTTTATTCCTGATGACCCAGTGACCTGGCACTTCTCCATGCCTCAGCTTCCTCCTCAGGAAGGCAAAAGCACTGGATTACTGATGTGCCATAACTCGACTCCACAGAGGGTCAGAGATGGTGCAAAAATTGTTTGCAAGATTGGATGTGTATGCAAAGAGTGCCTTTTTCTAGAGTTCACACCATTCAGCCAGGTCTAGCAGGATGTCGGTGACCTAAAGGATGCTAAGAACCACTGGACAGGCCTTTTTTGGTTATGAAATTATATGCTTCTAATTTCCAGGAGTTTTTGCCCATGCTTACCACCTCTAAGCAAAAAAGCTAATTTCCATTCTTTTAAGTCGTAAGCAAATTTTCTCACGAGCACAGCAGCATCCCCAGATTTGAGACCTAAAGTGCACTCTGGCCCCCTCTTCAAGCCCTCCTTCCTGTTGGGAACAGCCTGTCCTCTGGAACTGCCTGCCTCCGGCTTCCTGCCAGCCATGCTGTCTGACCTGCCAGCTCTGTGAGAGCAGAGCTCCTTGTCCCAGTGTCTAGGGATAGGGCCCTGGTTATCCTGGGTGGGGTGGGAGTTCAGAGTCACCCCATTCTCCAAGGAGCTCCACGGCTGCTCTGCCTGCTCCCTTTCGTAAACCTTGCCTTTTCTGCGAGTGTGGGGAATATCTTTGAATTGATTTATTGTCTTCACAATTTTTTTGCTCTTGATTTCCCCAGTAGCCTTTTTTCTTTCTGTCCCTTTCCCTTCACATTGCTTAGGCCCTGAATCAGTCATGGTTCCTGGAGCATGGGGTGCATCCCAATGAGCTTCTGGTTCCCAGTCATTCATATTCCTTAAAGAGCCAACTTAGGGTAGAAATAGCCCTCCCTGGGCTGGGCAGTACCCAGCAGCTGATTGTGCTGTGATTTAAAGCACAACCCAAGAACATAATGACTTCATCTTAAAGTAAATTCTTTTGGGTGCCTGTTACAACCAAGAGTTATGGAGATTTGGTTTTCACACTCTCTGTCTCATTGTATTTTTCCTGCACCCACCGCATCCCATCCTTCAAGTTTAGAGCCATCAAACTAGCTAATATTCACAATTCATTATCTTTTCATTTCTAATTCTCCTTTTTGCTGCTGAAAGCAATTAAGCCCGGAATTGGACCTTGCTGAATCTTGAGTTAGTATTCAAGGTGTCTCAAGAGGAGGGATATGCAGGCAGGCCACTTGGCTAACACCTCTCCCTTTGTTTGCTCTAGCTCATTTTTGTTCAGGGTTGGCTCAGCTGACCTCTCTTTGCCCTGTGGGAGGGGGAGGAAGTACAAGGTTGATTGCTTCACGAACACATCATCTGCAAACTTATTTTGAAGTCAGGGAAAAAAAATCAGTGTTGTCCTTGATCAAGAGCTGATTTGGCAACTTGATTCAGAAATTAATAAGAGTGGGAGGAGAAACTCAAAACAGTAGGAAACCTGGCTTTGTGAACCACATCACATGGAGAGAGGGAGATGGAGGCTGGTGCGGATGCAGTCAGACCCACAGGTACTGATGAGCCCCAGGGCTGAGGGGGGTCTCCACTGTATACATTAGAGCTGGCTAGTTTTCCTCAGTTCTTCTCTTTTCTTCACCCCTACATCCATTTCCAAGAGAAAGCCTGTCTGCCTCTCCTTTGACTGTCTGCTTCCCTGCCACCCCCAAGCACCAGTGTAGGCTAGACTACCATATCATGACCTGAACAACCACAGAAGCCTCCACACTAGCCCCTGCCACCACTCCTGCCCAACAGTACGCTCTGCCATCTTCAGACTGACATGCACACAGCTGTTCTCACCAGAGAAGGGAAAGTTGGTGGTCAGGGGTGGCACGGGGCTAGAGGCTGACCAAAAGCTAAGCCTCTGCATAGGGTTCACAAGAGCCAGTGAAAGGCAGAGCTCTCCAGAGATGACCAGCTTCCTGCAGAGATTGTGAGTTCCTTCCTACTACTCTGTCTGCCAGAGAGCTAGAAAGGGAACCAGCCGGATGGGGCTACTCTGAGTCCCCTGCAAGGAGATGGGAGCAGAGCAGCACTGGGACTAGGGATCGGGAATCTCCATGCTCCCCCCCTGCAGGTGGAGACTTTCATTGTGTGCGATTGTGGGATTGAGGTAGACTTGTCCTCTTCATGAACATTCCTCTTCACGTGCAGTACAGCTGCTTCATCCTGCGTGCTTTTCCTAGCTCCAAAGAATGACCAAGCCTCTGTTTGCTTTTTTAATTTGTCATATTAAATATAGCCTTCGTGGCAGGCTTTTACATCCAGGCTGTAAACTCTGGAAATGGAAATTGATCAGGGGGTGGCTGATATAACTGAGGCTGTAAATGCTAAGAACAGAGATGCCATTCTGGTTTAATGCTTTTATCTAGCCAATGTGCCTTGTATGGAGGGGGCATAAATCTTGCAACTTGGGGTTGGTGGGGGTTGGATATGACCTTGCTGCTTGTTACCACCAGGTGTCACTGTTAACTGGCAGTGCCAAAAAACAAAACAAAACAAAAAAAAACTTCCCCCAAAGTGTTCATCTAATTAAATAATTTCCACGGACAACAAATGAGCAACTTACATTAGGTATGGGAGCAGGGGTTAGCATATAGGAGCTGTAAATAAGGCAGCGTCTGTAAAGGTAGGCACTAGATAATAAATAACAGATCAGATCAGACACACTCCATCTCAGCCCAATATAAAGACAAACTGAACTGACTTCAATTCCCAAGTAGTCCCAAAAGCTTCCAGCATGCAGTTCTGTGCCTTTCTGACCAAGAGGCTTCTCTTTTCATTCTTGAAAGAAATTTGAGATGAATACATACACTTCAGATTTCTTTGAGATGAATACATACACCTCAGATTTCTTGGACCAGTCTTTAAGTCTCCCCAACTTGTACTGAGGTTCAGTATCATCCACTCAGCCTTCACTGTGGGCTGAAAGGAAAGGAAACTAACTAGGCAATATCTTGTTTTAAAAAGATGAAGTTCATGCCCAACAAGTCTCATGATAGAGAAAGAATGCTTTTAGGTTGCTGAGTCTCTCTACCAAATCCCCCACTCCAGGGCCCAGCTCAAGATACAGGATGCCAACAGTAGCTACCCTACCTTTCTGGCCGTGCAGGTACTGGATGTCACTATGCTTAGTCCTCAGTGTGTGTTTGAGTGATAGCTGTCTAGTTCTTTCTGCCTGACCCCAGTATATAAGAGTAAGCCACTCTAGTCTAGGAGTTGGGCAAACCTAGGTTCAGATCTTATTGGCTGTGTGACCTTGAATAAGTGACTTAGTGTCCTTTGCCTCATTGTCTCTCAATAAATAGGGTCTTAATAACAGGTAGGTACAGGTGTTTAGAAAGTCCACACTGTGTCCAGTCTGCAGATTATTGTTGAGCTTCTGTATGCCAGGTCCTGTTCTAGGCACTGAAAATAGAGGAAACAAGACAGGAGGTCTCTTCCCTCAGGCATTTCTGTTCCAAAGGCCTGCCCATGTGTAACACACACACACACACACACACACACACACACAGAGGCACTCAGGCTTGCAAGTCTGCTTGTCTTTACTGAAATATGAACTGGAGTTTTTCATCTCAGAAGGGTCTTTTTCATGTTAATTGTGCTGTCTCTCCCTACCCCCATTTGTGTGGGAAGTCAGGATCAGGTTTGAAGGTTCATTTGCTGACTGACTTCCCTGCGTTCTTTCTAACAGTAGGATCCCAGCCCATCAAAGAGCCAGCCGGTGCCTTCAAACCCTGGACAAACACAGACTGGTGCGGGCTTTTTTATTTCATCCCCACCAGAGCCCAGCTCCTCTCTCTACCACACACAGGCCTGTTCTGTTTGAACAGATCAGGAGCCACAGAGGTGATCCTCTAGTTCAGCTGAGCTTGAAATGAGGAGCTCATTCCCTTAAATGGTACGAGCAGCTTGTTTGAGGCTGGGCTGCAAAGCTGTTTCCCCTCAAATTGTACCCAGCATGGAAATGAGAGCACTCCTCGTATTTTTCCCTTTGACACTTGATTAATAGTTGACAAATCCAGACCAAGTAGTTAGCTTTCCTATTATCCATCTTTTGACAGGCATTGCTGCATTTCTTTTCAAGGCCCATTGTTCTAAAAATACATTCAGATCTAAAGCTGTTCGCTATGCACATATAGGCATGATTTTATGGCATCAAAGATAAGAGACATCTGCCGTGCAGATTACAAACAGAGTGGGTTGCCGGGTTTCAGATCTAAAGGCAAGGACCTCTGTGCTACTTAAACCAAATGCTCCCAGCCCTTTCTTTCCCTGCTTCCTCAATGGTGTCATGTAACAGACAACCTGGTTTCATCCTCAGGGACAGATGGGGACCAGGATGCTCTTGATGGCAGCTCCAGCCCAGTGGCTACACTGCCTGTTCAAAGTGCTTTCACTTATCCAAAACCTTGCATACCATAGGGCAGCCATTTGCAGGATCTGTCTTCTGTCTCAAACACCTAAGAGGCTGGAATAAATGACAGAACTTAGAACCAAGTATAGTGGCCAAGGAAATGGCCTAACTGTCTTATTTTATGTATATTTCATTGAAAAGATAGGGAAGGTGGGTGCTGGGAGTCCAGCTAGGGTCTTGCCCATGCTAGACATGCACTGTCCCAACGAGCTATACCCACATCCCTATTTAAAAGATATTTACTGAGGGGCTGGGAAGGTGGCTTAGTGGTAGAGCGCTTGCCTTGCAT